CCCCCCCCCCTTCCCCAGTCTCTGCTAAACTGACAACACTCAGACTACACAGCAGGTTTCAGTTTAACTTCTGTATATCGTACATATTAAGGATATTAGCACTCCCGCCCCTCTCACAAAATTATACATTGCCCAGCCCAGAAATTATCCAAGCTTATTCTTTTAACTCTAAATTTAAAATATATAATTTGAAGTATTATTTACGGCAGTGAAGAACTTTTTATTTAAAAAATCGTATTTTTTTAAACTTTTTAACCAACTCTTTTCTTTAAAACTTTTGTCTTGGATGGAATTGTTCGTTACTAAGAACGGAACAGGGAATGGAAACGTTCTTGATTAAGAACAGAACAAGAGTGATGCAACCGTTCTTCAACTAAGAATGCCAAGAGCGGAACGGAACGAGAAGACCGTTCTTCTACTCAGAACGGAACGGAACGGAACGAAAAAAAAGAGGAACGAGAACGGAACGATTTAGCTGAAGGCCCCCGTTCTAGAACAGAACGGAACGATTTTAAAAAAGTCGGAACATGCCCAGCCCTAGCTCTAAATGATATTTTAAACCCAACTCTGCTTTGAATGATACTATAAACCCACCTCTGCTCTGAATGACATTATAAACTCATCTCTGCTCTGAATGAAACTGTAAACTCACCTCTGCTCTGAATGATCTTATAAATCCAACTCTGCTCTGAATAATAATAATAATAATTTATGGTCAATGTATATATTAGAGATGTCAACGTTTTGATTTTTCTAGATTTTAGTTTTCGTTACGATAGTTTTCGTCAAAAGTATTAACGTTTGAAACGTTACGTTGCACATTATGAAATTTTATGGCATAGAGTAACGTTACGTAATGAATTTTCTGCACTTGAATACCTTATACAACGTTAAGCTTTAGTAAATGTTATTGAAAAAACAGTAAGCTCCGTTACGCTTTTGCATTTCCCGTATTTAAAAACTTTCCCAACGTTGCGTTAAAGCTTATGTATTTCAGATCTTGGGTTAAGGAATTCCATTTACTGGGTAAAATGAAGGATGGAAGATTGCGCAGAGACGATTTTTTGCAAATCTGTAAAGCAATGTCATTTGTTCTCATAGAATTGAACTTTTTAAACATGCATTCAAAGCAGGAGGGAAGTTAATTGTAAACAAAAGAATGCATAAACAACTTGCAGTTCAAGTAAAAAAAATCGTTAAACTTCAGGATATTTAATTTCTTAAATATTGGATTAGTGTGTATACATTTTTTCTGGCAATAATTAATTCTTTACATTTTGATGGTTGAACACCTCCCCAGGCTAATAAACCAAACTCAATATGTGGTCTAAACAATCCGTTATAAGGGTTTACCAA